GCAACACATCTAGTATATGTGAATGTGTTCTGTCAAGCCAAACAGCAACACATCTAGTATATGTGAATGAGTTCTGTCAGTCAGGCCAATCAGCAACACATCTAGTATATGTGAATGTGTTCTGTCAGACAGGCCAATCAGCAACACATCTAGTATATGTGAATGTGTTCTGTCAAGCCAATCAGCAACACATCTAGTATATGTGAATGTGTTCTGTCAGACAGGCCAATCAGCAACACATCTACTATATGTGAATGTGTTCTGTCAAGCCAATCAGCAACACATCTAGTATATGTGAATGTGTTCTGTCAGACAGGCCAATCAGCAACACATCTAGTATATGTGAATGTGTTCTGTCAGGCCAATCAGCAACACATCTAGTATATGTGAATGTGTTCTGTCAGTCAAGCCAATCAGCAACACATCTAGTATATGTGAATGTGTTCTGTCAGTCAAGAAAATCAGCAACACATCTAGTATATGTGAATGTGTTCTGTCAGTCAAGCCAATCAGCAACACATCTAGTATATGTGAATGTGTTATGTCAGTCAAGCCAATCAGCAACACATCTAGTATATGTGAATGTGTTCTGTCAGTCAAGCCAATCAGCAACACATCTAGTATATGTGAATGTGTTCTGTCAGTCAGGCCAATCAACAACACATCTAGTATATGTGAATGTGTTCTGTCAGACAGGCCAATCAACAACACATCTAGTATATGTGAATGTGTTCTGTCAGTCAGGCCAATCAGCAACACATCTAGTATATGTGAATGTGTTCTGTCAGTCAGGCCAATCAGCAACACATCTAGTATATGTGAATGTGTTCTGTCAGTCAGGCCAATCAGCAACACATCTAGTATATGTGAATGTGTTCTGTCAGTCAGGCCAATCAGCAACACATCTAGTATATGTGAATGTGTTCTGTCAGTCAGGCCAATCAGCAACACATCTAGTATATGTGAATGTGTTCTGTCAGTCAGCCCAATCAGCAACACATCTAGTATATGTGAATGTGTTCTGTCAGTCAGGCCAATCAGCAACACATCTAGTATATGTGAATGTGTTCTGTCAGTCAGGCCAATCAACAACACATCTAGTATATGTGAATGTGTTCTGTCAGTCAGGCCAATCAACAACACATCTAGTATATGTGAATGTGTTCTGTCAGTCAGGCCAATCAGCAACACATCTAGTATATGTGAATGTGTTCTGTCAGTCAAGCCAATCAGCAACACATCTAGTATATGTGAATGTGTTCTGTCAGTCAGGCCGATCAGCAACACATCTAGTATATGTGAATGTGTTCTGTCAGTCAAGCCAATCAGCAACACATCTAGTATATGTGAATGTGTTCTGTCAGTCAAGCCAATCAGCAACACATCTAGTATATGTGAATGTGTTCTGTCAGTCAGGCCAATCAGCAACACATCTAGTATATGTGAATGTGTTCTGTCAGTCAAGCCAATCAGCAACACATCTAGTATATGTGAATGTGTTCTGTCAGTCAGGCCAATCAGCAACACATCTAGTATATGTGAATGTGTTCTGTCAGTCAAGCCAATCAGCAACACATCTAGTATATGTGAATGTGTTCTGTCAGACAGGCCAATCAGCAACACATCTAGTATATGTGAATGTGTTCTGTCAGGCCAATCAGCAACACATCTAGTATATGTGAATGTGTTCTGTCAGACAAGCCAATCAGCAACACATCTAGTATATGTGAATGTGTTCTGTCAGACAAGCCAATCAGCAACACATCTAGTATATGTGAATGTGTTCTGTCAGTCAGGCCAATCAGCAACACATCTAGTATATGTGAATGTGTTCTGTCAGTCAAGCCAATCAGCAACACATCTAGTATATGTGAATGTGTTCTGTCAGTCAAGCCAATCAGCAACACATCTAGTATATGTGAACGAGTTCTGTCAGTCAGGCCGATCAGCAACACATCTAGCATATGTGAATGTGTTCTGTCCGTCAGGCCGATCACCAACACATCTAGAATATGTGAATACGTGAATGTGTTCTGTCAGTAAGGCATTTAGGTCTGACGGCTGCCAGAGGAATATTACAATCTGGCAGAAAGGATCTTGATCTGTATATAAACGATCTACTGCCATACGGTAAAAGATTACACTGGATATTGAGAGGACTCACACAAGAGTCAGGAATACCTGAAGCTTGTATTTTCTGCGACTGCACTGTGTGTTCTCTGAGAGCTAGTTCTTTTCCTTGCCTTAAATGTGCTTCTAATCAACAGTGTGTGTGTGCCTAAGTGTGGACTTATGTGTGGGTGTATGATCAAACATATAGTGTTATTTTACCTAATCCACTCTTGCTGTTGAGTACACAAGTGGAATGAGCCTAATCTTGCATCCAAAGCTGAGAAGTTTCACCTTGGTTCTGTCACTTCACATTTATTTAGTACATTCTTGAGACTATCCATCCTTGCCTTCTTCAAGCTCTTCTTCTCATGCGTTTATCTGAAGAAGTCATTGTTTTGTGCCCATTTACAGCATGGCTGCAATATTTTAAGCTATCGGACGATACATCTGACTTCTGCGGGGAATTCTTGACCACATTAGCCGTTCTTCAAGGTCTAGACTCAGATTTTCTTTGGTTGTATACTTTCTGTCTGTTGTTGGTCTAGTTCCATTCTCATGATGAGAAAACTTATACTTTTTTTTTTTTTTTTTGATAAATTCATTATATGATGTTAAATTTCTTTATTTTCCTTTCTTTCATGCATCATGAAACTGTAACTGACTGACTGTGAGTCCAGATATGACTTATAAGCCTAATACAGGTCCGGAAGGAACTAGTACAGTGAGGGTAGGCAACTGTGTCTGTAGATAAAGGGCCTGTTATAAAGGTCTTTCTAGCCTGCCTGGGCTGTTAAGCTGCCCTTTTTTTTTTTTAGATGCCTTGCAAGTTGCTGCCCCTCTTCGGACAGACGTTTGCCATGTCGTCCAGTCTTGCGCACAAGCCTTCAAAGTGTTAGCTTCCATATAAAAACTTGCATGACACTGCAAATATTAAGCCCACCCTCCTCCGGCAGATAATTTTCTATAAAACTATATAAAAGAAATAGAAAATAACAAATTCTTTACAAAAAGGCATATATTTCCGATTTTACACTGTTATATAGCTGTCCCCCACACTTTTTTTCCCGACTTTAAACTAAATCAACCTGTAATCCAGATAAAAGATTTAATTCACAGCTCAATACAAAAAAATACTGATATTCACACACTTCATTCATAATTTATCTGTATTATTTATTTAATAGATTCTCAGGTATCACCATTATAAATTCATCTATTTGTGTCAGTCAACCTGGCAACTGTTATACAGCTCTATATATTTTTTTTTTTATGTTCTAGATTTAAAATAACAATGCTCAACTATAGGGTTTTTCTTTGATGTGTAATACAAAACTGGAAAGTAAATCACAGAAAACCACAGGCAGTGATTTTTCTGTCTATAACAAATCAGCACATTTTCAATATAATCAGAGAGAAAGATCTTCAAATAAATTCTGGCCTATATGGAGATGAGTGAAAATACAACAAGCCACATAAGCTAACTAGGCCTCACTTACGACAAAATCCTGGCAAGCCAAGACAGATATGACATTCAACATTACTACATAATGAAAGCAAGTTCTAGATTTTCATCACACATCTATCTCCCCAGGGGCAAGTCATGGTGGTGCAGTGACTAGCTTGTCTGCCTTTTGGCTAAGATCATTTGTTTAAATCTTTCTCAAGGCTGAGATTTTTTAGAAATTTCCTTGGACTCCAAGGTGACTGCTGAAAATGGGTTTCAGGAAACACTCTTGGAAGCAAAGGTAACTGGCATGAAATTGACCTCATCACCTTCAAGACTCTATATAAAGATAAGGCAAGCACCCCATAACACATAAGCCTCATAGTGTGAAAATACTATTTGTAAACAATATAAATTTGCTGCCTTTACCTCCAAAAACATTTCCTGGCATCATAATTTCAGTCGGGCAAATTTGTGCACAATTCTGCCTCAAGAAAGTATTTGAAAACCTGACTCCTGGGATGGCAGGCTAGGTGTGCCAGTCTCTAGTACCACACCAAGATCCCCTTCAGAGCACACGTCAATGACTAATACATAATCTTGATTTGCATGTACGACTCACTCCTCCATCACCCTGAACTAGGGTGTAGCAAACTTTTATGCTCAACATTATTACCAGCTGGTGTCAACTGTAACATGTACAGGGTGTCTGTCCAATTCCTAGGGGTACAGAGAGGGATTCTCCTCAATTCGGCATAAATACAGAGACACTGGCTGGATTCACCTCATCTTGAAAGGTGCATCACCGTACACAGAAACTGAATGTCATATATCCACCAACACTGACATTACACACACATCCAGTAACTGTGAGGTTCCCACATTCATTGATGAATGGTCGGATTCTCTCTACAACTATCAACAGTCAGATTCTCTATGCAATAATCAACAGTCAGACTCTCTATACAGCTACCAACAGTCAGACTCCCCCCACACTTCCAACAAGAGTATATGTTTTATCAAACATGAATTTACCTACAACTTTTCCCTTCAAACTGAAGCATACTTTAAGAATCACTTGTTTATATAAAATATATTAAAAAATAAAATAAACAAATCAAAAAGTATATTTTGGAAACAAACGCAGGCAAATGTTCATAAATTAATAAAAATCAACAATAACAGAAATGTATTAAACAAAAAAAAATTTTCAAAACTGCTAGAGCACGGAACAAATGGAAAGAATAAATGCATCCCCAATAAAATTTAAATAAAAACAGATGCACACATAAAAAATGTAAGTGGCCAAGACTTTAAAAAAAAAAATAAGCAGTGCAGGACTAAGATCTATATGGAATCAAGCTAGCAAACTTTTCTGAGGCATCCACAAGCATCATCATCGACAGAAGTTCCACAAAGACAGACACACTGATGGAGTACTTACTTCTGCATTGTAGAACTTGGTTTTCACATCCAGCGGCTTCAGGACCTGGCGAATCATCAGGGAAATATTCACACATTAATGAGACAAAGTGAAGAGAATTAAGCAACATAACAGTTTTTTTTTTTCTTCCTAATGCAAGCGGGTCTTGCTAGACAAACTGGCCACTGCCACAGGCTGTCAATCCCAAGCCTCACATAGCCCAGTGTAACTCTTATCATCTGGAAGTACAGAACGGTGCTAATAAACCAGTTACTGATTCTTGTCAGGACTTCACAAACTAACCTCAGTATTTATTGCTGTTATGTGAATTCACGTGGCAATGCTCATTCAGTAATTTGCCATTGCTTTCTGAGCAGTATAACACTCACATCAATATGTCTTCTTTTTCTTCATGTTCACCGGCTGTAAACTCCAGCAAAAAGTTTTGGTTGTTCATCCACCTCTGGACCTTAGTCTTATTCCAGAACCTGAGTGTTGTGTGCACATATGTATGACAGACCTGGCTTATGTGTATGCAGACCGTTGGTTCCTGGTCTCTCAAGCAGATGCACCTCAACTTTCAAGAAAGCTCCCAGTCAGTTGTCCCCTAAGACATGCTTGCAGGAGAGGCAGTGGGCCTAATCTTGTTCTCCCTCACAATGAGGCCCCTGGTCCCACACGGGGAATATAGTACACAAATCAAAGCAAAGTGGTGTGTTAACAAATCACCTACGATTGCTTTTGAGCCCCAGTATGTTTGGATTGTGGAACTGCAGTCACAATCTCCAAGTTACAGATGCCACTAGTATAAGGCACTATCCTCATTTTCATAGTTATCACATAGCCCTCATCATAAACTGCCTGAAAGAAACTCGCTCTCTCGCTAAGTCTCCTGTCTCATGAAAGTTTCTGCCCAAGGTGTCATTTACACTCTGTGCCCATCTTCATGCTGGTCGGCCCCTGCCCCTCTTTCCTGGTACCGGGCCTTCTGCCACTGTTTCCAGGTACCGGGCCTTCTGCCACTTTTCCAGTCATCTGTGGGGCTTGACATGGCCAACATATTTTAGTTTCAAAAACAAGATGCTGTTTACAAGCCAATCTTTCTTGATGTTCAGATCTTTTAGAATGTTAGTGTTTCTTCTCTTCTTTGTCCATGATATTCTGAGAATCTTTTATTAGCATTTCAGCTCAAAAGCCCCTATTTTCTTCCTTAAGGACTGGGAGATAGTCCATGATTCACAGACATATGTTGCTATAGCGAAGATGAATGCTCTGAAAATGTAAAGATGTGAGACGGGTTCTTTAGTTATTTTTAGTCTAATGTAGGCAAGTAAGATACAGTGTGAATAAAGTCTGGTATAGTAATGATGATGATGATGATGAAAGTATAGCAATGGTAAAATGGGTCACAATCAAATATAGCCAAGGTAAAGTAAAGGAAACTGAAGTAAGTTGAAGTAATGTGCAGTAAAAATAAAGTGTCTCAAATTAAGATCAGTAATCTGAAGTAACGAGAAGCAAGTCCTTTAACTCTACCTGAAACTTGAAAAACTTTCTGAACTGCATTCTTTCCCCTGAAGTAAGCATGTAGCTGACTGCACAGACCAAGCTGAAAACATAAAGCAGCATACAAGTGCACTGGCTTACTTAACTCTAACATAAGATGAACATTGCAGTTTCACAAGTTAAACTACTGGCTTGTCATTTTCTGCCACAATGCTATATCTAGTAAATATATTCAGCTGTTAAAGATTATCTTGGAGAACTGAGATCAATAATCTTGGGACAAATCTGAAGGTGCTAAGTTGTCGGACGATATGAATGTTGAATACCCTGGCCTGTAGTCACCCAAGCCAGTCCACTACTTGACTGCCCACTCCAGTAGCAAAGGATAAGACTCATCAACAGATGACATGGTGCAGTCGCTGGTGTTCACCATCTGCTGAGTGGACCTATCCTGACCCCCTAAGATGCTCTCTGGACATAAATCAGCGTAGAGCTAAATGCTTCTGCCCGCAACAATTAGGTTATCATTTACAATATATTCCCTGTGATAGGTTTCACTAAAAGTAATGTATGAAGTATTTATCATTTCCACTAATTCCAGCATGACCTGAAAAACTGACCAACAACGTCCCCATACAGTGAAGTTGTGACCACAATAAGTCCACACGCGCTCCCAAAAGTTTCTTCTTCTTCTTCTTGTTCACCAGCTGTAAACTCAAGCAGAAAGTCCTGGCTTTTCATCTACTTGGGGACTTTCATCTTGTTCAAGGACTTCAATTCTGTGGGCACACGTGTTTCAAGGATGTGTCTTTGTGTACAGACTAGTGACTGATCCTCTCTGAGACTGTAAGTCTGATGGGGACAAGGCTCAAGAGGATGATCTACTAATAACTTCCAACATGTTAAAAGAAGATTCATGTACACATGTCTGAGAAACATATATATGTATATATATATTTGAGGAGTATTGTCTGGATGTTTTTCACCAGCAACGCCGGTGTGTTGGAAACTGAACAGGCGGACAGACTGGCTCGCTCTGCACAACTTGGTGGAATACTGATACATGATAAGGCAGACGTGGTTAGTACCTTGTGGGAGAGCGTGTACAGTTCGGAGGAGTAGATGGATCACCAGTCTGGTGAGATTGATGCAGGGGGGAGTGACGAGAGGTTTTGGCAGTTGCTCGAGGCTCAGAGGAAAGGCAAGATGGACGTTTAATCAAAATGCTACTGGCACCATTAGTATCAGAACTCTTCGCTGTCTGCTGAAGATGGGGACAGAGCACTTACGGGAATGCCCCTAGTGCTGTGATGTCAGATCTTGAATCAACTATACTCAACATATATGTTTGAAATGTATCTTTGAGATCGAATGTCAATGGTAGAGAGTCTGTCTATGTTATCTGGATTTTTTCTATGTTTAACGTCTGTGTTTATTAAACCTTTGTGTCCGACTTCTGTTCTTTTATGAACAATTCAATGTTTAACGATGTCCATGTTTAACAATATCTATGCTTAACCACATATGTGTTTAACCAAATCCATGGTTAAGCCATGCCCCTGTTTAACCACGTCTGCATTTAACCATGTCTGCACTTAACCATGTCTGTGTTTAACAATGTCCATGTTCAACCATCTGTGTTTAACCATGCCCATGTTTAAACCATGTTTGCGTTTAACCCACTTCTGGATGTCTGAGAGAACTTACATATGTGTGCCCAGTTCTTTAACCTCATGGTGGATGACATCATCAATGCTATGGTCAGGCTGAAGCTCTGGGATTGGTTGGGTCCCAATCGAAGACAAGGACAGTCGCTGTGAGCCAGTCTGTAGGTCGGCCTGGGGAAGAGAGATATTTATTAACTCTACTGATGCGGTATCAAATTCGTAGGGATGGTCATGTGACACACATGCCAGATCACAGGCTCCCAAACAAACTCTTCTATGGTGAGCTGCAAAATGGGAAAAGTTCCCAAGGCGGGCAAAAGAAGTGCTTTAAGGACACCTTGAAGTCTTCACTCCAAGCATTTAGGATAAATGACACCAATTGGGAGGCTGCATCCCAAGACCGAAATGCATGGCGTGCAGCTCTACACAAGGGCGCTGCTACATGTGAAGCAAACTTAACAGCAAGACTGGTTTAGAAAAGGATGGACAGAAAGGCGACTGCAGGAGATCCCCTGCTTGGCACAATGCTCATTCCCTGTTCTCACTGTCCAACAACTTTTTGGGCCCGCATCGGCCTCATCAGTCATCTTCGTACTCATACTTGATGAAATAGAGTGGTCATCATCATCTCGATGGACAACACACATAGGTCTACTTGGAGAAGAGAGTTATTTGGGAAGATACTTATTTCCCATGGCTTCTGACAACATCATGTCACCAGGAATATTCAGGTTTAGACAACAATAACAATCCAAGTTGTCTACAAGACAAAATAAACAGAAGTGACTCACAGGCAGACATTGTGCAACTGCAGTATCCTAATTTTTACTAGATATTGGAGCTCTCAGCCACTACTGAAAATTACTTAACCAGGAAATTCAACATGCGCACACATATGAACACACACACACACATACATGAGCCCGGAAGACATTCACACACACACACACACACACATACATGAGCACGCACACATTTGCACACACACATACATGAGCAAGCACACATATGCACACACACTCATACATGAGCACACACACATATGCACACACACACACACACACACACACACATGAGCACGCACACATATGCACACACACACACACATGCATGAGCACGCACACGTAAACACAAGCATGTTGTAGCAGGCAACTAATTCGAGGTTTTCCCTTCAAAGTCGGAGCACCTGTGAAGCAAGGAACCAACAATCTGCACACAAGCAAGCCAGATCTGTAAAATGAATGAGCATGCAAAACTGTTCTGGATCACAGCTAAAGTCCAGGAGTGGACAAACAACCAGAAATTTCCCGCCAAAGTTCACAGCCCGTGAACACTAAGAAGAAGAAGAGAACAGGGTTAACTGATCACCAGGGAGATCACCAGGGAGATCACCAGGGAGATCACCAGGGAGATCAAATGGCACAAAAGAGAAACTCACATTACAAACATCAATAGAAACATGTGTCTCATCTGATTTCTCTTGTATGCTGCAGTGTTCAGATGAAACATAATTACCCGGAGAATGCCTATTTGTGAGCTTTCTGTTTTAGGCATGTCCACCTGATTATATTTCATTGTATTTATGTCAGCAGCAGAAATCGCCTATATGGTCGTCTAGTTAAGCACTTGGTGTGATTTCCCTAATAACCAGGGTTGCCAGATAAAAATGTAGAAATCTGCCAAACGCTGGCTAGAAAATGCCACAAAAATGCCAAGAGGAAATACTGGCAAACTCACAACATAATAAAAACTCTAGGTTAAGGTCGTCACTACAGTCTCAGCTGAAATCAGCACCATTCACTTTGCCAGTAGACAAAGTCACCGTTAGGTTGCTGCATCTTTACGGTGACCATATCGCAAAGACGGCCTTTTTTTTTTTTTTAAGCAGGCTTAGACCATTCCTTAAATACTCCACACACAAAAATAGTCCTTTGTCCTAACTGAATTTTTTTCACTTCAGTATCAAGGGGACAATTTGGGACTACCTAAAAAGAACGATATACTGTCCCGGCAGCGAAAAAGAGACACATGGTGACCCTATGCAACTAAGCAGCTCTGTTAATATCCTCATCCAAGAAGTTGCAGCTGACTTCTAGTTCTATTCTTCGTTTTGACTGCCGACACAAGAGAGAACACCCTCTCAACAATAGCAATGTTAACTAGAGGTATTAAACAAACCAGAGCAAAGATTGCAAGCTCTTTACTTTACAGGCCATCAACCAAAACTTGTCAATTTGTCACTACTTTATGCTTCCACCACCTGGGAATGTTTCCCACTAACCTACACTCCAACCATTAGTAAAGCTCTCAATCTAAACATGCCCCCTTGTCTCTATAAATATGCTTGTATGCACTGACTATCTTGATAGTGGTTGCTTTTCTGCGTTCGTGACTTGGTTCTGTCAACTCTACTGTCTCTCGTTTGGCCGCAACTGGCCATTCAGGTGTTAAAAAAAAAAAAAACTAAACAGACTAGCCGGCATGTGACAGCTCCCATTGTCCCGATATATCATTACCAGGCTGGTGATTTTCCCCTTATTTACAAAATCTTAATTAACATTTCCCTGCATAAACTCCTCATATTATATTAAATTTACCCTCTTTGCTCTCAAGAATCATACACATATTTTTACAGAGAAAAAAGTTAATCACATAGGAAAAATGTCACAAATCTGCCAAAATGCAAATAATTTTTTTTTCTGCCACCCACTTTCCAAAATTGCCAAATTTCTTCAATTTGGCATTTAAAGGCCAAACTGGCAACCCTGCTAACAAGTGGCTGCAAAGAGGGCTGGGGGGGGGGGGGGGGGGGGGGGCAGGTGGAGGGGAGGGTAACTACTTACAGAGAAAAATAGTTACCTTTAGAGTGATCTCCTTGCACAGCTGACTGCTGTCATTGTGGACGCTGATGTAACTAGAAAATGTCTCTCCTAGGAAAATGTTTCTGGAAAAACAAACATATACAATGAAGATATGTGAGAAAAAATAGAGTTTCAATAACTGATCAACTTATGTATAAGATACAACTAAAACACTGATCAAGTTATTCATAACGAATGCACAACTGATCAAGCTATAAATACATAGCAAGTTATGGCAATCAATCAAGTTATCCTATGCGTGTACTGACCAAGGAGATATGAGTGTGTGGTCACTGCTGGCCGGTTTCTGCAGGTCCGTTTATCAGGAACTGGTTGAATGAGCAACAACGAAAGCCGTCTCTTAGTATCATCTCATTGTGTCCACCGTAGAGTCAGTCTACCAGGCACAGTCTACATCGCCAACAGTTTCTGTCTGGGTGTTTATGTGTGTCTGTGTGTGTGCATGTGTCTGTGTGTGACTTTCTGTGTATGTGTCTATGTATGTATGTGTGTATGTGTGTATGTGTGTGTCTGTGTGCGAGAGAGTCTCTCTGTGTGTGAGACTATCTGTGCGTGCATGTGTAAGAGAGAGAGAGAGAGAGAGTCTCTCTGTGTGTAAGACTATCTGTGCGTGCATGAGTAAGAGAGAGAGAGAGAAAGAGGGAGAGAGAGAGTCTCTCTGTGTGTGAGACTATCTGTGCGTGCATGTGTGTGAGAGAGAGAGAGAGAGAGTGAGAGAGAGAGAGCGAGAGAGAGAGAGAGAGAGAGAGAGAGAGAGAGAGAATGTGAGTGTGTAATCCTGCGTGCGTGAAATTCAAAATGACCCTTATCCATCATCTCTGTGTGTGCGTACAGAATCGCGGGCGCATTCTAGTCGGTTTCTCGTTTTTACAGCCCCCTCCCCTCCCTCCAACCGCTTCGTGTGTGCGTGCGTCACGCACCCGCGCGTAGATGTGCGTCACGCACCCGCGCGTAGATGTGCGTCACGCACCCGCGCGTAGATGTGCGTCTGTGCGTGTGCGTAAGGGTGGATGCATGGCATTTTAACATTTCTCAATCATCCTCTCTTTAAACACAACGTGCCTTCTAATTTTTTTAAGACCCCCCCCCTCCCCTTTTCCCCGTATGAAATGAATGGCCCCAATCATTCTAAAGAACTACCATTATGTACGCCCCCCCCCCCTCCCGTTTGAAATGAATGGCCCCAATCATTCTAAAGGACTTCCATTATGTACGCCCCTCCCCCCCCCCTCCCCCGTTTGAAATGAATGGCCCCAATCATTCTAAAGAACTACCATTATGTACGCCCCCCCCCCCCCCCCGTATGAAATGAATGGCCCTAATCATTCTAAAGAACTACCATTATGTACGCCCCCCCCCCCCCCCCCCCCGTTTGAAATGAATGGCCCCAATCATTCTAAAGAACTACCATTATGTACGGGCAGCGATTGCTAACCAGCTGATGTCAGAAGCGAACAAAATTGTAACGTAAATACTCAGCAACGGAACAATTCAAGTATGAGAACCTACGTGGCGATCAAAGTCTGCGCCAACATGCAGACAACGGAAAGAGAAAAAAAACCCAGTAATGTCTATTTTTCATTCACACAAATCAGCTTCCGGAAACGCCCACTAGTATCGCAACTGCCTCCAACCAAATCCGATACCCGACAGCTGTTTAATCACATCCAGGAAAGAAAAAGAAAAAAAGAGATCATTTTTGTGGGCACCAGGTTTCACTACTGTGCTTCCTTTCGGGACCACCACTTTAAGCCCCACTGTGCATTTTTTTTTAAAATACACAAAGAATTAACAAGTGAACTTATAAATCTAACTTTCTTGACACGGACAGAAGACAGCAAATGCTTCCGTACATCTCAGGGGTATTTTAAAGGACTTTCCGAAATATTTCGTTATCTGTTTAATTTTAAAACCACCAAACAATGACACTAAGTAAATTTTTGTCACTGTTTTAACACATTGTTCCGGTGACCAAAATACATCCGGTGACCAAAATACAGTCTTTTCTTGTTTAAGGGACTCATTCTCATACGGGAGGAGTCCATCCAGCAGTAAACAATGTGCCAGACTCACTGGCCTAGAATCTATCTGTCTCCACCAGTACCACATTCGATACGATTATTCGTTTCCCTGTTAGCCCCTACAATACGCCGACCATTTCAGGTGCACGTATGTTTATAAATATACTGTCTTTCATAAACTATCCGTATTGTTTCCCACTTCACCTTTCGGTGTGCATTCCTACCAAACTATCAGGCAAATTGTGGGAACGACACCTTGTACTAGATTCATCGAGAAACAGCAGATCAAGTGGTTTGGCCATCTTGTTATAACGCCGCAAGATCAAATACTATCACAAACACTACATCTCAGAAGATCAGCTACAAGAGCAAGAGGACGGCCGCGGAAAACATGGATCGACAACGTTAAATACACTCTACGCCTTCACGGCATAACAATATACAGTGGCAGCCAACGTGCATTGGATCGGCATCCAAATCACATATCTTTAATACATCATCCCAATCACACATCTTTGGAGCAATCATTTTAAGAAACCGCCGATGGATCTAATCAATACAGCCATCTTTGATCCCACCGTAATTCTAAACCAAGTAATCATTTTATCCTTCATGGACGCAACCATCCGATTTCTGCAGACACTTGTTCTGATGAAGCTCTAAACGCAGTCAGCCCAATTTCATCAACAACTTCTAATCAAACGATGTCCCAACAACTATCCAAATCAGTGGATTCTTATCCGTCATCGCCGTGTACACAATCGTGCAGACACGGGTACGTAAATACATACATGTAATAACGCAGGCAGTAGTACAGAGGTGGAAAGTCTAGAGACAAGTCTCTCACTCGAAAGTCTCTGGTACCAATCCACAGTCTAGAGCCAAGTCTCTCACACAAAAGTCTCTGGTACCAATCCACAGTCTAGAGCCAAGTCTCTCACTCGAAAGTCTCTGGTATTAATCCACAGTCTAGAGACAAGTCTCCCACACGAAAGTCTCTGGTACCAATCCACAGTAGAGCCAAGTCTCCCACACGAAAGTCTCTGGTACCAATCCACAGTCTAGAGCCAAGTCTCTCACAAGAACGTCTCTGGTACCAATCCACAGTCTAGAGCCAAGCCTCCCACACGGAAGTCTCTGGTACCAATTCACAGTCTAGAGCCAAGTCTCCCACACGGAAGTCTCTGGTACCAATCCACAGCCTAGAGCCAAGCCTCTCACAAGAAAGTCTCTGGTACCAATCCACAGTCTAGAGCCAAGCCTCCCACACGAAAATCTCTAGTACCAATCCACAGTCTAGAGCCAAGGCTCTCACAAGAAAGTCTCTAGTACCAATCCACAGTCTAGAGCCAAGTCTCTCACAAGAAAGTCTCTGGTACCAATCCACAGTCTAGAGCCAAGCCTCACACAGGAAAGTCTCTGGTACCAATCCACAGTCTAGAGCCAAGCCTCTCACACAAAAGTCTCTAGTACCAATCCACAGTCTAGAGCCAAGTCTCCCACACGAAAGTCTCTGGTACCAATCCACAGTCTAGAGCCAAGTCTCCCACACGGAGGTCTCTGGTACCAATCCACAGTCTAGAGCCAAGTCTCACACACGAAAGTCTCTGGTACCAATCCACAGTCTAGAGCCAAGTTTTCCACACGGAAGTCTCTGGTACCAATCCACAGTCTAGAGCCAAGTCTCCCACGCGAAATTCTCTGGTACCAATCCACAGTCTAGAGCCAAGTATCCCACACGGAGGTCTCTGGTACCAATGCACAGTCTAGAGCCAAGTCTCTCACAAGAAAGTCTAGAGCCAAGTCTCTCACACGAAAGTCTCTGGTACCAATCCCCAGTCTAGAGCCAAGTCTCTCACAAGAAAGTCTCTGGTACCAATCCCCAGTCTAGAGCCAAGTCTCTCACAAGAAAGTCTCTGGTACCAATCCAAAGTCTAGAGCCAAGTCTCTCACACGAAAGTCTCTGGTACCAATCCAGTCTAGAGCCAAGTCTCTCACAAGAAAGTCTCTGGTACCAATCCCCAGTCTAGAGCCAAGTCTCTCACAAGAAAGTCTCTGGTACCAATCCACAGTCTAGAGCCAAGTATCCCACACGAAAGTCTCTGGTACCAATCCGCAGTCTAGAGCCAAGTCTCTCACACAAAAGTCTCTGGTACCAATCCGCAGTCTAGAGCCAAGTCTCTCACACAAAAGTCTCTGGTACCAATCCACAGTCTAGAGCCAAGTCTCCCACACGAAAGTCTCTGGTACCAATCCACAGTCTAGAGCCAAGTCTCTCACACGAAAGTCTCTGGTACCAATCCACAGTCTAGAGCCAAGTCTCCCACACGAAAGTCTCTGGTACCAATCCACAGTCTAGAGCCAAGTCTCTCACACGGAGGTCTCTGGTACCAATCCGCAGTCTAGAGCCAAGTCTCCCACACGAAAGTCTCTGGTACCAATCCACAGTCTAGAGCCAAGTCTCCCTCACGAAAGTCTCTGGTACCAATCCACAGTCTAGAGCCAAGTCTCTCACACGAAAGTCTCTGGTACCAATCCCCAGTCTAGAGCCAAGTCTCTCACAAGAAAGTCTCTGGTACCAATCCCCAGTCTAGAGCCAAGTCTCTCACAAGAAAGTCTCTGGTACCAATCCAAAGTCTAGAGCCAAGTCTCTCACACGAAAGTCTCTGGTACCAATCCAGTCTAGAGCCAAGTCTCTCACAAGAAAGTCTCTGGTACCAATCCCCAGTCTAGAGCCAAGTCTCTCACAAGAAAGTCTCTGGTACCAATCCACAGTCTAGAGCCAAGTATCCCACACGAAAGTCTCTGGTACCAATCCGCAGTCTAGAGCCAAGTCTCTCACACAAAAGTCTCTGGTACCAATCCGCAGTCTAGAGCCAAGTCTCTCACACAAAAGTCTCTGGTACCAATCCACAGTCTAGAGCCAAGTCTCCCACACGAAAGTCTCTGGTACCAATCCACAGTCTAGAGCCAAGTCTCTCACACGGAGGTCTCTGGTACCAATCCACAGTCTAGAGCCAAGTCTCCCACACGAAAGTCTC